TACAATAACAAATTCAAAAATTTGCCACCAGCCTAACTTGAACCATTAACCTTGTTTGTGAAGCTTGGAAGCTTAACCAATAAGCTACAAGACTCAAACAAATCTAGTATATTTTATTTAACTTTGATTTAAATGTTAGTTATGGTCAATAACTAAACATAACTTTGTTATATTAATGAGAATACAATTGGTTATATATATAACTTTAGTTATTGCTTATTTAAAGTTTGGCTATATCTATTTCTATCTATAGTTATCCACCAATTGCTATATCTAAGATCTGCATATAGATCTTTTATTTAAACTCTCTAATCAACTTCACATTATTAATATTTTTCCAATAAGTAACTGCCACTAAAGTCTCTTATAAACGTAGTTTTTATTTTTTTCAATAAGTACTTAGAATACAAAACTTCCATAGATTTGCAATAAACTGGTAATACAGTATATTAACACAAAGTTAGTCATATATTGACAAATATCAACCAGATATCTAAAATAATTATAGAATAGACTGACCCGATTATAATTTAGAAGTATTGTGCTATATAAACCAGTTTCTAAGTTGTGAGAAACTTAATATTTAAGACGTAATCTGCAACTAAAGGGTTTAAGTTTAAATTTCATAGTAAAATCGGCGCAATTTACTATTTTCCGTGAAAAAAAAAAACCGAAAATACGCATATCTCATGACTTATCCAACTGATTGTAATATTTTTACCACATTAGAATCAGAAAATTGGTTCTACAACTTTTAGACGAATGTTTAAATAATAATAAAAAAATACTTTTATATGTAAGCAGGCTAGATTCCTGTACTATATGAATTTTCGATTTTTTTATTATAAGATTTGCCATTTTTTTTACCCTTTCAGAGGTGAACTATCTCTTAATCTTATCATTACATGTGTATTTCAATCTTATAGTTTGTAAAAATATGATACAGTATGCAGATTTGCTTGTCAGAAAGAAATTTGTTCAAAATTATTATCTCATATTTTGAGTGATTAAATAAAGTACATTATTACAATTTATTTGCCAATTTGATCAGTATAAAACAAATGATCACAATTGAAAATTTAATCGTTATTGTATCAGATTTCAATAGATATAGCGAACACACTCTAAGTTCACATTCTCTAAATACATATTTCATTCTATAAATGTAGTTGTTTAATTAACCGATCAAATGTTATCGGAAGTTATAATATTTTATCGGATTATTGCAAATAAATTTTCTGAGTGCACGATTTTATAAATGCACTGTTTCTGACAGTGTGTGCTTAGAGAGTATTCGTCGTATCACAAGAAAAAATAATGATATAATAATTTGGAAATTTGTGTCTGGATCACTGACGCGCAGAACGAACGGCTTGACCACCTCGAGGTTGTTGTTGCTGCTGTTGAGGTTCCTCAGCTGGACCACCTGTCAGTAACAATATGACAAGAGGCAGAAGGTACCACCTATTTATATAACAAAGCACTTTAAAAATAGATATTATTAAAATAAGGACTTAAACCGAATTTATGTACACATACCAATATTTCTGTAAAAAGCTTTTTTCTTCTGGTGGTTTTTCAACTGTCCCATCTGGTCTTATAGGCATTGCTCCATTTAGTTTCGGCCTTTGTTAGCCAAAATATTTATATTTATATATGGTAAAACATAGTGATGTTAAAACTGCATAACTCAGTGACCAAATTACCATTTGATTATGAAATAGGCAGCATATAAAATACCTAGCTCCGTTCACAGCCTTAATTATTTGAACAATAGTTTTAAAATTTACCGTTTGCTATTTGATTGTGCCATATAATAAAATTGTTATAAATCATAAAAGTGATAAAAATTATTCCATTTCATATAACACAATAGACTCACTGATGTCAAAACAGATGTATTGTTACATTGATCAATAGAAGTATAATAATCAAAGTGAAACACGTTGTTTCCATTTAAATGGATTATGATCTCATCTTCGAATTTCGATGCTTTCAGCAAACACTATAATTTCGTAGAAATTCAATTTAAGATATTGATGGTACTATCGTAATACTATTATATGCAAATATTATACTAACCATCTTTGTAAAAGATTCCATTACTTTTTTCGGGTTTTGTTCGTCTACTAATTTTATTAGATAGTATGGATCATTGTTCGTTTTATCCGCATTTTCAAATTCGTTTATAGACAACACATCTCCAGAATCATAATACTTTGCGACGGCGCGGGATAATGTTACAACAACTTCTCCACGTTTTAGATATTTTGACTGGTGAGGAAGCTTATGATAAACACCATATTTGAGTTCGTTAGGCTTGATATTATAAAAGTGAATGTGTTAATTTTCTTTTTGATACAAAAGTTTGAAAAACAAAAGCTATTAAACTCTTTACCTCGTTATGTTCTTGTCCCCAAAGTACACACGTTTGCAGACAAATTAAGATTGCTATAACAATTGCAAAACGCACGATAAATGTCATCATTCGAAGTTTGATGAATGCAAAAACTTGTCATCCAAAAATAAAGGGGATCAATTACTATAAATAGTACGTGTACCCCAGATTGGAAATTGTCCTGATTTTGAATTAAATTTTAGGTCCTAAAATTACAAATTTCTCATCTGTCCCGATCCGGTACAACATATATAAATCAAAAATTCAGCAGTGGCTTAGCGTTAGTATCTGATGTCTTTAGAACTTCTTTCGAAGCGCATTCAAATCGAGGATCAGCTGGCTACAGTCCGTTATGTTGGGCCCGTTCCACCTACCAAGGGAGAGTGGCTTGGCGTAGAATGGGATAACGTATCAAGAGGAAAACATGATGGCGTTCATGAGGGCACGCGATATTTTACCTGTAGGTTTGTATTATGCATAACGTTATCATGTATTACATCCGTATATCCTCTCGAAATAAAGTTACGTATGTCAATATAAATCATTTATAGCGTATCAAATAGCGGCTCTTTTGTTCGTTTTTCATCAAAGATAAACACAGGTCGCAGTTTCGTCACTGCCCTCATTAACAAATATATTGAATACGACGATGCTGGAAAGATACAAGAAAATGAAGAGACATATGATGCCCAAAAGGATTTAGATACGCTTTATTGGGCAGGAAATACTAAAATAGAGGTTGAAGCATTAGGATGGGACAAAATTCGCCGTAAACAACGGTAGGTATTAACAATTATAATATCAGTAATCTAAAAAAAAAATTTTTCATACCTTTGATATATTTTAGAATAGAAAATTAGACCGATTGACTGAAGTTGGTCTTTCTTTCGAGCAAATATCAAGTGCTGGTATCTCTGGAGAGATTGAAGCTACATGTCCAAGTACATTAAAATTGAATATAAATATTTTTATTAATTTGATGGTTTATTTTCACTTTCTAATAACTATTTCAACTCATGAACAGATATTGTCGATTTGAATTTGTCAAAGAATTTACTGTCAGACTGGGAAACTGTTGCTTGTATATGTCAGGAACTTAAAAAGTTGGAAGTATTACGTTTAAAGTGAGGAAGAAATTTAATTGATAGTGAATTTTTATCAAATCGTATAATGTTATTTATTGTTGTATTGATTTCTGCAACTAGTTACAATCGATTTCAAACACTGAAGGCTGTACCCAATTTTTCAAGTGCTTTTTTAAATTTGAAAAGTCTTTCACTTAACTATACTCGAATATCTTGGGATCAGGTTTGATATAATTCATATTTGATATGTATTTCTTTTAGTCTCCTATTTTATAAATACTGATTTGTTCTGATTCTTTCAGATTGAGTTGCTGGAGCCATGTTTTCCAAGTTTAGAAAACCTGCAACTCGGTTTTAATAACATTAGATTATTGCCTAATAATGTAAATGAAAAAGAAAACCACCCGATAAATAAAATTAAGGGATTTGTAAAACTAAAAGTGCTTAACCTTGAATCCAACGGTATAGATAGTTGGGACACAATTGCATGTTTCTCGGATTTGCCTTGGTATTAAGTTTTCTTTTCTCAAATCAGTTAATTCATTTAATACAAAAGTTGATTGCAATTTTGAATATAGTTTGGAAGATCTTTTTCTCAATAATAATATAATTGAGCACATTTTTTATCCAAAGGAAAATGAAAGTAATAAAGCATTTCCAAAATTGCGATATTTAAATGTTAACGAAAACAAGATCGGTGATTGGAATAGCATCGATGAGCTTAACAAATTTCCATCTTTACATGAGCTACGAATTAGAAAAAATCCATTTCTTGAAAGTATGTGTGAATTTATTTGATTCATATTACGATATGATGGTTAATTCTGTAATTGCAATTTTATTTCTGAACATAGATGAAAAACCTATTGAAGCAAGTATGTCAATAATTAGTCGGATTAAGGGCTTATCGGTTTTAAATGGCAGTATCGTAAGTTTTTTTTTTCCCCTAAAGATAAGCACTTGTATACGATTATAAGTTCATGATATGTCGGGATATCATTGCTGTATAGATATCTCCAGGAGATAGAGTTGATGCAGAGAGATTTTATCTCAGGGCTTGTGTAAAAGATCTTAAAAAGACCCCAGAAGAAATAGAGAGAGAGCATCCGCGATTTAAAGAATTATGCGAGTTACACGGAACACCAGTTGTTGATGAAATCAGTATGAAAGCTACCAGCAATGTTTTAAAGGATCGTTTATTATGTTCGTATAGCTGATTATAATTATTATATGGATTTTTGGGACATTGATAACTTATGTGTTTGTTTTTTATGAATTTATAGCCCTTACAATTACTTCTCGGCCATCCCTTGAACAAAATCCTACAAAAAAGGTTTCCAAAAAACTATTAGGTAAAGTCTCTATATAAACATAACGCTTTACGATAGTATGTGTATAGCTGACTCCGCATTTTAATGTGGCGTTCCCGTATTTGTATTGCGGCGCAGTAATTTGTAAATGCGGAATTCATAAATTAACTTTTAACGTCAACTATAAGCAATGTAACTCAAGTTCCTAAGATGGAATTTCGAAAAAAATTAGCTTAATACTGACCGACTTAGTTGTTTATGTCTTTTCGGGAAAATGGCCTTTAAAAATTGTATAGTAACAAACTATATGTATACTTTTGTCAAAATTATTATAGGGACAATGGAAATACGAAACCTGAAGAATTTGCTTCAGAAACTTTTTGGAATACCAGCTTCACGGCAGAGACTATTTGCTATTACCAATTATCAAGTATGTTATACATTTAATCATTAGTTTACTTGTAATTTACTAACTAGGCTTATAATTAAAGACAGAAAATGGTCCAACAATATTAAAAATCGAGATGAATGATGACTTGCGTCAATTATCTTACTATGACATTTCATCTGGTGACGAGATTATTATCATCTCGACTTAAAGTCATGTTACTCTAAACACGGGTATAAAGTAAAGATAACCTCATGGCCCACCGTAACAATAATTTAAGATGTAGTTATCAATATTTATGATATAAAAGGAAATAAATATTTTTATTTACTTCAATTTATTTAAACAAATTTTTATATGATTTAAAAATAACAGATTCTATTTTTAAATTTGGTTTTAATTTTTTCTGGACTATTACTTGGGATTCAACAACTTAGCAACTATGCTAACTTATTACAATTCCAAAAGCTAATTTATTTAAAGCAATTATATATAATTAGTTGAAATAATTCTTTAAAAATTACTAATCAAAGATTACTATTTTAATTAAAACATAGAAAAGATTTTTTTAAATATAATAGTAGTTAGATTATTAAACTAGATAAATTTAAAATACAAATTAAAAATGTAAATATAAAGATTTACAATTTTATTATTATACAAAAATATTATTAATATTTTGTATAATATTAAATGTTATTTTTAAATATTTTTAGATTTATTAAGCCAATTTTAATTATTTACTTAGGTCATGCAAACTTAATTAATTGGTTTTTATAACCTGGCTGGATCAAAATTTGAAAATTTGTAAAAAAAAAATTTTGTATATTTTAATAACTGGGTGGGTATTTTAAAAAAAATTTAAAAAAATTTTATAAATATTTATATATGAAATATAGAAAAAAAAGCCAGTCAGGTCTGTTTAAAAGTTTTATGTTATGAAAACCAATATATTAAATTTGTGTGACCTTATTATTAAAATTAAAATTTTTTATTTTATTTTATTTTTTTTTACCTTCGCAATGTCACAGAAAAGTAAATTTTTATTAGGCATTTTAGTAGTATATTCTTAATTAATGAAAGTATATGTAGCCACACATACAACTTTTGGTTGTTTATTTAAATAGTCTGTATGAAGGTTTTATACTATATGTTGTATCTGTAATCTAACTAGGAGATTATCTATTTAAACTCTTTAATATTCTCTGTTTTGCACCACTGCTACAATTACATCAGCTTATAACCTCATGCTGCTTCAATTGAAGGCCACCCAGATCAATATATGCTATACTACTTGATTTTAATTCTATAGAAAACCTAGTAGGGTTCTTATACTACTGGATTGCTCAAGTAAATCACTTTTGGGCTTGTAATAAAAGTTGTAGAGCTCATCAAAAGGTATTTAATAGTAGTAAGAACATTAAAATTGGCTTGGTAGTTCTTGAGAAATCTTTAAAAAACTTCTTTCTCACATATAAAATTTCTTTAAAAAAATTGATTTTTTTTAAAGATTTCTCAAGAACCACTAGACTAATTTTAGTATTCTTTCACAATTAGATGCATCTTGATGAGCTTTACAACTTTTGTTACAAACCTAAGAGTGATTTACTTAGTAAAAAAAAAAGTTTTAGATAGAAGTACTGCACATTCGGGCTTATAGTAAAATTTACATATAAAAAAAAAATATTTGTTTAGGTGACTCGCGATTTGTCTATTAAATATAGTTATAATCCAAGGTTTTACTGTATAGAAAAGTGTTTAGTTATATAGGTATAGTAGTTAGAGCTAGGAAGTTAAATATGGTTGTAAAGTATTCTTATATATATATAGCTAATTACTAAATCTTCTAAGGTTACAAACAAGTTGGTATTCTTCCTTTAGACAATTTGTTTAATCATGATAAGATATGTTTCTAGTCAAGAAGACAAGAATTATTAAATGATATTAGTTGTTTTAAAAACATAATATGGTGATGTTTGAGTTGTTTTTTAAAGATAGTATAATTAGAATGAAAGGATAGTATAGATTTAAGTAAAGTTAAGCCTGTAATAATATATAGTATAGTAGATGAAGGATTGTGTAAAATAAACAACACAAGATGTTTAAAAAGTTAATTAATTTTAATATTATTAGAATGTTTATCAAAGCTATTAATTATTGGGTTTGGATATAATAGAATGCTAGTAGGAGACCAAAAGTTGTTTTGCAGCTATTATGAGTGCTGATATCTAGTAAATCTTAATTATTAAAATGTTTAGTATAATTTGAGATATGGTGTTATAACTGAATATTTCAAATATTACAAACATTATATAGTTGAAAATAAAGAAGAATAGAGGTAGGAATTGTTCGGCTAAGTTTAGCTTTGTATTTAATAAGTCTAATATGATGTAAAAAAATTTTTTTGCAAGTATTTTGGCTTAAAACCAAGTTTTGAAAATGATATTTAATTATAGGAATAATAATAGTATTGACAATATAGTAGGCTTAAACATTAGTAATTTGTTAAGTTTTAGCAATTTTAATAAGATTTAAAGATTTACTGATGATAAGTTGTGTTTGCTGAAAATATTTGTTATCAAATATAATTCAACAACCTAAAAACTTAAAGGGTATATAAGGTGAATATAATGAAAATATATAATAATTAAAGATAATAAGATTGTAGTTAGATGGTAGATTATTTGTAACAAGAATAGATTTAGCCAAATTAATTTGAATATTAACTATATTATAAAAAGACTCTGCAATAGAAAGAATTTGTAAAAGTTTAGCTTGAGAAGAAATAAAGCAATTTGTATTGAGATAACTAAATGTATTGTCTTTCAAATTTGTGATTTAGAATGTTTAAGAAGTACAGTCGACTTTCTCTAAATGCAGCTCGCCAAGACTTAGAAAAATTTCTTAAGTAAAAAAAAAAATCCTACACTTAAAGAGAACCTGCATTTAGAGAATATAAGTTTATTATAACTTTATATAGCTTGAGACTAAAAAAAAATC